CTGTTTCTTCTTTCCATTCCTAGATATTAATAGAGATATCTGAGTTCATTTCCTCAATTTTATTAAAAATACGTGAGCAAATTGGAGTTAGCATAGGAACTCTATCTAAATTGACTATATCCAGATATGGTTGAAGAACAAAAAGACATTGTAAATTTTTATTTTTACCTTTATTGCTTGCAAAGTATGTACCTAAAACATATTTTAAATATATGATATTACCTGTTTGAGAGTTATCTGAATTAATAGTGCATTTAGTATTGGCAAGCTTTTTTAGAGTTGAGATATATGATCCACCAAATGCTCTTTGATATGTATAAGCTTCAATAGTTAGCATTTCAATTCTTATCAAATTCTATCCTGATCCTGATTTCATAAATGAGTCTATTTCATTATCTATTTCTGTTATGGATAAATCTATATGTTTATTGATATCTTCTTCTGTAAGAATAACACGTATAAGGCTTCTATAATAACTAATCATATATGTTGAAATTTTAGATTTGTCTTTTCCTTTGCTAATATAGCTATGATATATATATTGAGCAACTAATGCAGTTTTTATTTGATCTTTTTTTTATAATTCGACTTTAAGTATCCTTGTAATTTGCTTTCTTGCATTTGCTATAAGTTGAGGTATATATGGAACTTCTAAATATTTATTTGGGTTCTCGATATAACAATTAAATCTATATTTTATATTTTTGGGAGATGGAATAATTGCTTGCCATAAACTCATTACTGTTAAGTTCTGATGGGGTCTTAATGGATCAGGAGCAAAACTAGATTCGTATTCTTCAAATATTAACTCTTTGTTCGTTAATTTATAATTTTTTCTTACTAGATTACTACCAAAATTGGCTTCTACAGTTATGATATTTCTTTTTGAATAGTCATATAGCAATAATCTACCTAATTCAGGCTATTTTTTATCAGTATTTGTATTATATTTATCTTCCATATTATCAAACTATTCTGTATTATTTTGGGAAAGATTTGAAGAAACATTGTCTGAGCTTTGAATAGGTGAAGAAGGTGTGTCATCCAATTGGATTAAATCACCTACTGGAATATGGGTTTGTATCAAAATTTGATCTGTAGCTAAATTTTGTTGTAATAGAGTCTGTAAAGCAGGACATTTTGTATCTGTAATAGAATTTGGAATATTAATTTTATATGGATTTTTTCATTCTAGATATATACGAAGTTTTGCTAATTTAGAAAAATTTTTTCCACATCTATCATATATATGTATTACCATAGTAAAATAATAGTATGAAATTGTATATGCATGCTGGTACGAAATTCCTTATCTGTTACTTATAATATATTTTTATTCAATTTGAAACTTAATATGTAGTAGATATATATAAAAAATGCAGTTAGGTAAATATATATGTGATTTCTTTTTATATACTGAAAAGATATGTAGATGATCATGTATGAATCCTAAAGGGTGTTGGCTTCATAAAAATGCTATTAGGCATTATCCTTGTACTGATTGTAGTAAACCTACTCAGTCTAAAATAGTAGATGTCCTAACTATATTAGAAGCTATTATGTTAGCAAATATTAGCAAAAGTATTATAAAAGGAAAATAGATACTTAATTTTTGGTACCTTGAATTATATATGATATCAGGTGTGATGATGGAATTAATTTTTTGTCATTATCTGATTTGATTATAAAATATATAAATAGTGAGTTCTAGCTATATAATTTT